ATACACAAACAGTGCGCGATCAGAAGTTTGCAGTCCTGTAATGCTATCTAAAGTCACTTTCACTTAACACTTCAGTAAGAGAAAGTGCAAAGGGTTATGTGGGTCAAAGCCTCCAAAGCTAGTTTTGTAACACAATCAATGAATTTTGTTATCAGTCTGTGATAGGAAAGGGTGGGGTTATTTTTTCCTGCCTGTTTTGAAAAGTACTACTTTTAGATCCCATCTTAACAGCTATATGTAATGCTTGAAGCAATTTTTCAAGAACTGTTAGTTCGTATCCTCAAGTCTTCCAGTTTGCCACCCACCTGCAGCGTTACAGAATCAAACCCAAGCCACTGTGACAGACACTTCTGCTTTTCAGTCACCTTACGCCCACAGGATAGAATACACACATCACCCTACACATCAGCTACCATTTTTAATCCAGAGTGCAACTGTTGTGGCTTAGTTTCAGCTGCAGGAGTGATACAGCAGAATACCAATATTCAAGCTGATTTTGAGTTCTTATACATCAGACTAATGGCTCTTAGCTTTATTGGGAACAGAGATTTCAAGCAACTGGCAGCCTTTTCCCCGTACCTTGTGCATTTACCTTCAGAGGCTTTAACCACAGGAAATTAGTGGAGATTAGATTTGTTTAAAAACAAACAAACAAACAAAAAATCCCAGAACTGATTTTTATACTAAAATCATGTAGACCCCACTACAGAAGAAAAAACACCCTCACTAAGTCCATTAGGAAGAGATGATTATTGATTATGCAGCATGACTGCAATCACTTCAGCATTGACACAAGTCTCACCTATCAGACTGCCCATCGGGAGAGGTGGTGGCAGTGGTGGTGCTGGCGGGGCTCCAGGAGGAGGAGGAACAGAAATGTGTGCTAATAAAATAGTTTATATTCCCAATTAGGCCATATATTTAAAAAAAAAAAACAAATAAGAAAGCACGGGCACTTGATAGGCTTCCCAAATAAATACAGAAATTCAACTTCGGTCAACTGATACAAACTCAGCCCCTGATCCTACACAGGGTTCTGTACCTGCAGATCTTTATTCCCATTATTTTTCATGGGATGCCGGATGATAGTAAGATTCCATGCCTATTTGTACCACTGCAGGATCAGAAACACCTAGGAAAGGAAAGCCTACATGTGCGTAAGAAAGTGAAGACTTGTCATCTGAGGAACAGAGATTTAAGAGGTGCAATAGCAAAATTACATTACACCAAAACTCCACTGTTTTCTTGTGCAAGTTAGCTTTATGTGTTTACAAAATACACAGATAGTAAACAAGTGACTAAGTCGGTTTATTACCAAGATAATAATCCTGCCGGCTTATAATAAAGAAGGATCCTACACATTCTCACCATTCATCATTCTTAAAGACAAGGGAGTATGCTTTTGATGCCGAGAGATCCTGCACGGTTCTCTTTTACTGCTGTGCTGTCTTACACACAGTAGTTCTCCTGCCTCTCTCAATGATCTCCATCATAGTTTAGCAACTTCAGACTGTAATCGTAGTGTAAACACTGGTGCATAAGCCTAAATTCTACTACTAGCAGTGTTTTCATAGGTCATCTTCTGCGTTTCATTTGAAGTAAAGACTTTTATTTAATTAAAAAAAGAACATGTACATACAATCATTGGCAGATGGTAAAGTTAGCAGGCTATTTCAGAAGACAACATTTCCCATCAAACATGTACATAGTTGCTGCTGCTTCTCAGGGCATCCAGAAATGCCAAATTGTAGATAGGCATTTAAAAATATACTTAAGCTTTAAAAGGATACACCTCTCCTTCTATCCCCGCCGCCCTGATTATCTTGTAAAAACATGGACCGACAAAGGTGTTTTAACCATCCGTTATTCTGTAAGTGATTGTTCTGCAAGTACTTTTGGTAAAGAAGTAAAACTTCAGATGTCACTCAGCACTCATAAGAGATTTCCTGACTAGGACTGTACTTCAGGACAGTTTCTACTCCACCGTATTCAGTCAAAATCCCTCTGCAAACACAAATGACTCACATTACAGCCTTAAGTTAACATGGGAAGAGTCCCACATACCTGGTCCAATGGTTGGCGGTGAAGGTGTAGGCACGGCAATGGGAATGCCAATACTGCTGCTTCCACTATTCTCTCGACTGCCACTTCCTCCACTACTACCGCTATAAAAGAAAAACACAAGTATTAGCACAGCATTTACTACAAAGGCCTATCAACAGTCACACTTCTTGTGCGAGCTCTGCTAGCCTAATTCAATTACAGACTGTTGAAAAATCCCCTATAAAATGTGTTTGTCTCTACCTACAATTGCATAGAGCTAATCAAGCCTGGATGCATTACACCCCTAATAAATGGATTAGCTAAGCTGATAAAATCACTATGCATAAAATGTCTAATTAAATGCTTAAAAAAATAAAAAGGTAGGCAACCATACCAGTTCTAGGCAATGGAGTAACAACTGCAGGAATCGTTCAGAGGCCTTGTAATAACTGAAAGTAATAAGCTGGGGCTGGAAGAGTTCATGCCTAAACTATAAACAATTATTTAAGATTATTTATGCTGTCAGCTGAAGGAACATTTCCTCTATGCAGAACATAAGTTTAGATTGAGAACTTTTTAACTGAGAACAGCCACAATAAACCAATTGGGGTATGGTGTGGTGTGGATAATTTTCTGTATATCTAACACTCCCCCCTGCCCATGCACACACTTTTTGTGTACGAGAAGTTTGTTTCTAAGTCTGGAAGGTAACAGTACAGCCAGGTCACAATTTGTCTAAGTACCATTATACAATATACAAATTAGAGGCCAGCACTACAGATTTTTACAGAACATACTTCTAGTGAACTACTGGATAACATTTCTGCACATGTCTTTGGAGGCCGTAACACTTCTTTTCATTGAGGGAGCTGAAAAAGAATCAAGATTCAGGCGGAATCTGCCCTTATTCTTATCCAAGAGCACTCCTTAGGCCAAGGCTTGAATTTACATGGATTAAATGGATAATATAAAGGGAACTAAGTAGTCAAGATGTTTTGAAGCCAAAACACCACTTTAACCCATCCATGCTAATTAAAGAGTATTCAGTGATGTTATAGTTTATTTACCATTCCTGGGTAGCTACAAATCAGTGCTGTCAAGAGTCAAGCGCAAATCATTCAAATATATCTTAAGAAAATAACACTGTTACAAAAAAGAAAATCAGTGAGCTGAAATGGAAGCCAAGATAATTCCTTCAAAATTAGTGCTCTGTCTGCTGAAGACCTTGATCTTGTCACCATGGTTGCGGCTGAATTTCTAACTGCAGTCTACATAAAAGAAGATCTTGTGAGACAAGAGTAGGGAGCATTCACAGTAGCCAGCTAAACAGATTAACAAGATCTTCATTGCAGCCAGATTTAGAAGTTATTTCACGATCAACTGCATCCAAAACACACCCTCAAGCCCCGTTAGTGTTTAACTGCCTACTGGGAGTTTAAAAAAAAAAAAAAAAATTAAGAAAGAAGCTATCTAAAAAATAAGCTAACATCTTACTTCTAACTACATTGAATTCATTCGTCTGTTTTTTCCGTGCAGTTTGAAGCCTATGATAAAAATCAAATTGAAAAAACTGAACTCACTCAAGAGGCTCAGAGAAAGATCTAGTCTTGCAGTTTGAGAAAAAAATTACATTAAAAAAACCAAACCAAGGTACACTCAGAACACCCTTCTCACCCAAAACACACACTACTCTTTCATCAAAGCCCTTAAGCACGTGGGCAACTGGCTGATGCCAATACCTGCTCTGTGAATAGGTTTTGTTTTCTACTTCTACCATGCTAGCACTGATTATGAGCATTACGTTTTAGCCAAAAGAAGGCAATCAGCTCTTTCAGACTACCTTCATCACAGTGTTTCTAATCAACAGAAATTTCCCTTTGCAATCAGTGGTCTTGAAAACAAACAAAAAAAAAAGCCCAAGTGTATTTTAGGCTAAGATTAATAACGCAGCTTTAAACCCATTAGTACTCATCACTACCCCACCTTGCAACTGCATAAATTTTGAAGTTTTGCTTATTCTTGGGAAACAAATACCATAGAACAAAACAAATTGATTATATAAAACAAGGCCTGTGGTTATGGAAGTAAGTTGCTACATACAACAAGGCTTCTATAGAGTACGAAGACACTTCTATGTATTAGAGAAGTCATCAATACAGTGAAGTTCTGTTAATGCAGAGTTGTAGAATAACTCACCTTTTGCCTTTCAACAAAAAGCCAACAGGCACAAAGCTTCAAAGCTTTTCTGTGACTTTAGCAAGCATCAGCATGCCAAGGCAGGAAAGAGTTATGGTGAGAAAACGCTCTACCTGTGTGTTCTTGGTCTCTGGTTCAAGGAAGCCGTCCTTCCTGGACTGTGCTGACTGCCCAGTCTGGCAGGACTGGTCATGTAATCATTGGGGACTGTTGGCGGTTTGACTGGCTCCAGGGTTTTGTACGGAGTATTTCGTCTGGTCACGGAAAAAAAGATTTGAAGACAGAAAGATAAAGGATCAGAAGATCAAAAGGATAAATGAATGAAGTAGTGAAGCCATTTGTTTTCTTAAGTTTTCATGAGAGATCACTGCACAGTGACCCAAATCACAGTATATTAAACAAATTCCACTGGGCAGGGTAGACAGGTCACATTCAACTCTCTAAAGTGCTCTTATGTAGATAGATCCATAAAAGTTAGCCTACAGCACATAAACTGATTAAAAAATCCTGAACTAAATTTACCACCCAAAATATATTCTTTGAACTACATAACATACAATAGTTACACCTGCGTAATATTCTGGGTTACCTTTCAGTACACTGCACATGACAAACTCTTCCACTGTAACAATTTCCTCTTTCCCCTCCCCTCTGAATGCTTAACCATCCTAAAAGCATTCTTGGCTAAAGGTATTCAACTTACTAAGACAGGAGTAAGGCTGAAAGATTCACAGAACAAGTTACATTTGCAATCACCAGTGCTCTTCCTAGAAGCATTGTTTCATGCAATAATCGAGCAATCTTATATCACTTAAGCAGATCTTAAAGTGCTTCACAGATGAGCTTCATTGTCTCTGTTTTGCAGCCCAAGAAAGTGAAGCCCAGAGACTTCCAAGGTCACCTAACAGACTGCATCAAGTCAGAAATGTAACACAGATCTTTCGAGATCTATTTACCAGACCCATTACTGCCTTAAGAACAGTGTGTTTATTGTACTGAATTGCAGAGCCCTTCAGTTCTCACCAGTAACTAAGAGATCCCTTGCAAGATGTGGAATTTGGCAATGCACCAGCTAAGCAAAACCAAAAATACTAAACTACTGCATTTAATAATTTGTTCAATTACTGTTTATAACTGAGTTGGTAAGTTATGTGGCTTCCTGGTATTTTAAGAAACTTACTGACTTCCTTTTTACAATATGGAAAGCAACAGTACTAAATTTTAACTACAACATTTTATTATTAAAACATCTCAAAGAGAAAAGCGGAAATTCTGTAATTGTTTGCATGCACTGTGGTGTTTGTAAATTAGTTTGTCTATACAAAAAACTCCAGATGATTTTAATATGCAGACTGCCACCACCTATAGATCTGCCAAAAGAGATCAGTCGTGGGAAAAATAAAGAAACTTTTTATTCCAGTTGTAAGAGATAGAGCTCTAAATACCATCAAATAAAATGATAAGCAGGGAAGATTTTAAATGTGCTTCCAACAGAAATAACCTTGAAAACTAATGTTTTAAAGTATTCTATCTTGCAATGGACTGGCAATAGGAACTACTACTCAGCCCTGTAATACTATTTATTTTGCCTGTACAATTTAAGAATACTGTCAAAAGCAAACCCTGACTACCTCCTCACGTTCAGCCATGCCTCAGTTTCTCCGTGGTTCAGCTTCACTGAAGAACTCAAACTCCTAAGCACCAGAGAAGTAAAAAATAAATCCATCACTCAAGTCCAATCCTTCCCTTTGCTTTTCTGCCAGCCTTACACAAAGGAGGAAAATACTCTTTCCTGACACTGCCCAGCGCTCCCCGCCTCACTGTCCCCCAACGCTTCAGGGCAGTGCTGATGCCTGTTGCCACCAGCAAGAGCTACAGGGAGCTCAAGCCCCAGGGCCCTCAAGGCATGACTGCAACTACTCGCTCCATCCAGCTCCAGCAACTCACTCATTCTCCTGCAGTACTTCCAACATGAGCATCCAAGGTTTTCCACAGTCTCTCCCTGGTCTGGCGAAGAGACCCCTGCTTCATGCAGTCCCTTTCCCTTTTCAGCCTGAGCGATTTCTCTGCAGGACTCCCTCCCCACCATATTCCTTTAGACAGTCCTGCCTTGGAGGGACAAGCTGCACAACAGGCAGCAGGTACTTAAAGGCCCGTGTTACACACCAAGCTCGTCCTGATTTTACACGCTTATCTCTGTTTTCTGGATCAAAGGGAGAAGAGTAGTATCCTTGCGGTTTCTAGCAATTTTTTCTGCATATATTAGGGAAACAGTCATGCCTATGATATTTCATGCTTTGGCAGAACACGGCTGCTCAAGACAAGAGCTGTACTTCCTGAACAAGAAGGGCAGATAGAAATCTGTTATGAACCCACATTATTCCTCCCCCTCAGCCAACTGCTGCCTCTTGTCAAGCTCATCTGGAAATGACGTTCAGCTGATTAATCCTTATCAGGCATCAGCTAAGGCAACCAAACAGCTCTGGCTTGTTCAGGGGAGAGCATTAGAGAGACACAGCTCACCAGTACATCAACGCTGCTGTTTCACTAGCAAACGTCCAAGAGGACATGAAAGCGCTACCCAGCTTCCCAGGGCTGATAAACAACTCTTTCTCAGCTGTGATAAGAGAAACAATTAGAATACTGATTGCATGCCCTTGAGCAATGGGAATTTTCATAAAACATGCTGAGGAAACCTCTAGGGTAATTTCTCTGCAGAATACACAACAAGCACTGCCATCATGAAGCAGCAAAGCATCAAACCAGGATTAAAAATCACTAAGTCTTCAAAAAAAGGAGTTGCTGCTCCTAATTTTCCTTGACCATTGCTCCTGATCCCCATCCTGTTCAGTCTCATTATTCATCATTTTTCCAACTCCCCACCTCTCCCAGACAACATACCAGAAAACAACACAACCATGCCAGCCAGCTTTACAGTGCCTCAGTCCCCCATAGCATAAAGGAAAGACCGAGAGTGACAAATAGGTAGAAGGTTTTGTTTAGGATGTCTTTTGGAAGATGTTGCACAGACAAAACCATATGGCACATGCTCTGAGCTTCTCAAGTATTAATGTTTTGGTCCCTAGCAACAACTACTTGCTGGCACACCAAGATAAGCAGATTTCACTCCCCACAGGTCCACAGCAGCAAAACAGATGCTACAGCAGGGAACTCTGGTCACAGTGCGACTCAGGAATAGCAAAATCCTTCCTCATTTAAGTATAAAAATAAAAATGCACAAGCCTGCGAGAATCAATGTTGCCAATGTGTTCACAATGCCACGAATTTTGCTTAGGTAACGCAACAAATACGGCACCAATAGCTATTTCATACCTCTTATAACATTGAGAAATGAGTAGACAAAAACTTTAACAATGAAGTCTTTCCCCCACTGAAGTTAAAACCTTATTGATATTCTTTTGTGTCACTAGGGATTTCTCCCCAAAAATCAGGAACAACAATAGCCTCCTCATTTACCCATATCTGTAAGAAATCCATCCCCCATGAAAAAACATTCTTTCAAAAGGCCATCATGAAAATAAGAGTCAGTGCAGCTGAAAGGGTTTATACAGAAAAGGTAATTGTGTTTTTTGCTAAATGCAATCAGAATTGCCATCTATCCACGTTTTGAAGAAACACCAACACCGGCACAATTAAAACTTTCTATTACACAGGCAGGACACCAAGCAGTCTTCATTCTTACCCCAGAGTTCCCCGGCCTGACATGGGAGGACTTGGTGGTTTTTGTGTAGGCGGATTTGTTCTTGATAAGGTGCCAGTTCTTGCAGGCTGGTTATTTCCATGCTGAAATAAGGGAAAACATGATTTTATTTTTATAACAGAGCAGCTCTATTATTGACAGCTTTTTTTTTTTTTTAAAGTGTAAGAATATGAAGTGAGAATTCCCAGACAGCTGTCAAACAGCAAGTTTTCAGCTACACGCAAGACAGACACCAGAAAATACAAAGAATCTAGATACAAGCTTAATGTTATTTTTGCTATTAATTTACAACAGACATCAGAAAGGTAGGCAATTGACAGGTTCATGCACAAATCTCTTATATCCTCTTTTCTTTAAAGGGAAGCCACATTTGTGTTCATCTCCGGGTGTTAATAATTTAAATCAAACTTTAACACTGACAGTACAGTACAGTCAGCACAGGCCCAGAATTTCTCAATTTGCCCCTGCTATTTGACTAGCAGAGTCATTCAGGTTGTCTGGGAAGTCTCCTGCAAAAAATGTAAGTGAAGGGAATCAAGGCATCTACTGAATTCAGAGCAAAGCACTACATGTGTTAGAGAAATTAATGTATCTATGTATAAATGCAGATGCCAATGTATCACAGATACATTGACACACGCTAAACGCTGTAAATAAAAAAAAAAAATCAAGTATAGCATGTTTAATCTAAATATCCTATGGAAAGCAGAGGAGAGCATAAGAGAGCGCTAGTTTTCAGTTTTAATGGCTCTGCAGCCTCTACTATCAGTCACATGAGGCACTGTGGGTCAAAGGAGAAATAACACTTCTTACCTTGGCTTTTAGCCACTTAACGTTGGCAAAAAAAGGGGGGAAAAAGGTAGAAATTAATGGCAGATCCATCACAACTGATAGGACAGGTTAAACTACAGATAATCACATTTTTTAAAAAATCATTTGTGTCTACTGATAACTAGCTACATCCCAGACAGATGTACACTAACAGAGATTTTACTGGCTCACTTAGTCATTGAAAGTTCTGTCTCTGACTAAGTGACCACAGGAAAAACACTTATGTCAAAATTAAGTTAGGCTAAGCTTTGCCAGATTTGTTTGCCAGGCTCCTCATGGGCAGTAAAGGGTTGAAAAGCCCTTTGCTGACCATTCAAGTCCAAACACAAATGGATGCTATTTCAGTGGCAACGTGCACTTAAGAATTTGTTCACAAAACCAGTTTCAGCTATACGGTGCAGAACAGACTTGCCTGTTGTTTTGACACTTAACCTTCATGTGTTTTGAAGAAATCCTAGCTGCTGCATTGAATGGTAAATAAAGAAAAGGGAGTTCTCAAACAGGATGAGCAGCAGCGCCTTTCACCTCTGGTTTATTGATTGAAATCTGATTCAAGCCAGCACAGCGCTGGCTGCTCAAAATTGTGTTGGCAGTGCTCTAACGATTGTTATTCTGAAATTTTAGCTCTTAGAATCAAGTCATTATATGACTCTACTATATCACTTTTACAGCCTTTGTGATTACAGAGGAAAAAAAAATTATGAAAACTTGGCCTCATAAGGAAAACAAATGTAAAATTTTAAATAAGCTGGGTTCTCTAATTTTATTCGGGGGCGGGGGGGGGAAGACTCATGTTTTTGAATGGGCAAAAGGGTTAGTTTCACTGATTTAAGAAAACCAAGCAAACACAAAACGCCAAACATAAAATAATCCCAAAGCTATTTTTGAGGTTGTTTGGAAATAAACTGTCACTTCCAGAACAAGCCTCCTAAGGCACAGCTTTTCAAACTGCGTTTTGCACCTTCTCCTCCTCCTCCAAGAAACATAGACCAGTTTAAAGGCATCCATGAACTCAGAAAAATAATTAAAACATGCTATACATCAATGTGCGTATGTGAGATTTCTGACAGGGGCTGCAAAACCACTGAAAAACAGCTGGGGTTTACAAACCAAAGAGGCTGAGAGCCACTGCCCTTAAGTTATTCATATTACAACAACAGAAACACAAAACCCGCTCCAAAATTCAAATGAAAAAGTTTAGCTGTGGTAAGTAAATTTGAAAGTTATCCCATTCAATCCCAGTCTAGGCAGAGGTTCATCAGCAGAGTGGGAGAATTAAGGCATTTAAACCACTTCTGTCCCCACATACTTATTTCATGAATAAACATGAAGGCTCAGTTTTCCAGGATGCCAGGGTAATCTCCCAAGTGCTGTATTTTTAAAACAGGCTTGTAGCAATGAAATTTGCTTTCCCCTCTCACAGGAATATGTGACCCTTCCCCTTACTTCACCAGTTGCCAAGGGCAATGGCATAACACAAGGAATTTGTTAAGAGACCAAAAAGTGAAACTCTTGGTCCTGTCCCTCCCCAGCAGCCATAGATAAAAACTTTTTAAAGGCTTAAAAGGAAGGGTGGCATGGTTTCTTACCCAGCCTCTACCACTAAATTTGCCTGCTTCAAGAATATAAAACCAAAAAGCTTCCTCTCTCTCCTTCCCTTATGCAGTGTCACTCAGCACTTATGGTGAGTCTTTCCACCTCCTCCTTAATCACTGTTACATTCTGCCTCTGCTGCAGCAACAATACGAATATCAACATCTTGCAATGATTCAGGAATCTTCATCTTATTTCAAACCTTTCTACTGCTAAGTACTGTTTAACATACTAAACATGTATCTGAAGACCAACAGCTCTTGACCTTTATTGCTATCAGGTGAGCTTGATCTCTTTTGCTACCAGTTAAACAATATACAGACAGATACACACACTTTATTGTGCAGAAGAATTAGTAACTGTTGTCATACTGCTTCTCTCTGTTGCTGTCAATATAAACAAGAGTCATACAGGCAGGAAAACACAGGAGGAAGGAACACAAAGGCAACAAGGATTCTTATGGGAGAGGAACTCCTAATCCAGAAGACAGAAGTAAGGGAGGAAAGCAAATGAATCGAAGCGAGATGAACCATATGGCTATTTAATCATGGTTAATATGCTAATTAATGAGGAGGAGACATTTTCTTCTATTTATTGGCTGAGCTTATGAGGTCAACCTTGCTGCATTTCTTGGTCTGAAAACCAAATGTAGTGTTTTCTAAGCAATTAAAAAAATTGCTTGGAACTGGGAACAGTTTAGGCAGCAGGGTCTAGACCCATTATGATTTTAAGAAAAATGGAAAAAAAGACAGCAGAAAACCAAAAGGAAAAGCAGGTACATGTTTAATGTAGGTTCCAGCATCCCTCTACAAATGCCTCTAGGCCATCCAGCCTGTTGGCAGAACATGACCATCACCAACTGCCTGATCAGTACCGAGAAGGTCACAGTCAGGAAGGAAGGAAATGCCTGGCATGAGGAAGAGAAGCAGTAGCACGCATAAGGTTCACAGCTTGAAGAGGGAAGAGACTGTTCTGAGAGGGATCTATAAAATAAGAGATAGGAGGTGCAAAAGGAAAAAGGCTAAGTCAAATGAAGAGCAGCAATACTGAGAACTCGCGCAGAAGCTGTAAGGATCACAACTCCCTTCTCTTCCTGCTAGTGTATTACTGTACACACCGGAGACAGTTTTCAGCCAGATACCAGGATCCTGGATGACGTACACATCAAAACAAAAACACAGTGTGTAGGCTTGATGGGGATGCTTGCGATGCCGAGGCAGAGAACTAGACAGATTAGGATGCTCCCAGAAACAAGACAGCATCGTAAGCAGCAGTATTGGTTGGGGTTTCTTGCAAGCATCATAGCAGAGAGATATTTTAAAGAAGCAAGCAGAACAATTTTGCCTTTCCAGGGAAAACCCGCCACGCATGTGGCAGTCCTGGATAAAGTTTTAGGCGTTGTCACAAAATTAAGAGAAAGAAAACACAATCTCAGGTTCAAGAAATAGAAGTCAACCTCGCTGCATTTCTAGATCACAGCTAGGGCAGTGGCACACCCACAGGGTTTTGACAGTGTGGGAGAGCAGGTTGGCCAAGGACTGAGAGCCAGCAGTGGGCTGGAAAGGAGTAATGCAATTAAGGCAAAACAGCTGTTTGCAACAGCCATGCAAGGCATTTATCAAAGCCAAAAGTGAGGCTGCTTCTGTAACTGATGCCAGGAATTCAGAGCACCTGGACTGAGAATTTTAGCTGTGGGTTTTGACAGGAGAAGCAATGTTTTGGGGCAGTCGAGCATTGACTGTAAGTACCAAGAGGCTTACTTGCTTAAGGCAACTATTTTGGCAATTCCAGAGTGCTCAGTTCTGGTAGTCTAAACAATACAAAAATACCTGCTGACAAAGGCAGTACTGCAGGTTTCTGTAACTGAGGCAAAAAGGACGAGACCAAGAACAGCATGAAAGGGTAGGGTGTGAGGCAATCAGGAGTATCTACTGATAGCCAAAGGATGTCCAGACATTTGAGGACTCTACTGGCTGGCCTCAGGAGGCAGCCATCTAATTAACTGTTTTTAATAGTTTCCATGCCAAGTAACAAGTCATGGGGGAACATTAGTCATGATTCAGGGAACCAGAAAGCTATTATTTGAGTTATAAACTGTGTTTGGAAAACTAGGCTAGGGACATTACACACAACTAATTTATGTGAGCAAATGTATCTATAAGCACAGAAATACAAAAGGCCACTTGCACGCAGGAGGAAATCCTTATCACACTGATGTCCAGCAAGTTTCTCCTGAACATTTCAGCTATGAACTCTCCAATTTCAGACTGCAGAAACTTCAAATCTCTACACAGGTCAGTTGTACTTCCCTTGCTGTATGTCGCTCACTATTTCTCCAACTCCTGAATTTAAAGAGCCAGGTTCACTCTATATCCTACCATACCTAGGATCACTGAAAACCAACATTAAAGACCATCCAATACAAATGCTGATCAATGGAAACAAAAGTTTACTGCACCAGTCTAATCTGCATTAACAGTAAGTGTCTGGCAAACTCAGAACTTCAATATGTATGCTGTGTAAAAGCAATAACCAGCCTTAGATCTGTTACCTTTGACCAGTAATCACAGCCATTAACCGCAATAGAAAAAAAACATGATTGCATTGGATGACTTTTTAGTCAACCTCCCCTTTTACTTAAAAAGGTATTTCCTTTATTAGTCAAGGCAGAATTATCTGAGACATGCCTACAGAAAGGCCGTAAGACCTTTTCAAGTGCTATTATGTATCTGCGGCTACGCAGTTCAATTGCCCCACAGGCATCCTCATAGATTTTTGCTCAAGATTGCCTCCTGTCTCATCAGTGAAGCAGTTTTGGAATACCACAAGGTGACACAGTCAGAGCAGGAAAAGCAGCTCGAAGGGTACTTGTTCATGAAGGTATGGGATGCCTGAGAAAAGTATACAGTAAAGCACCAAGTCTAGAACATGGTTTCCTTACAGATATCAAGATACGGACTTAGGGAGAACGCGTAATCAAAGTTGTTTTTCCGAAGGCAGATTGTACGTGGGTATCAGACACTCTGCCACTAGTTCTGTGCAGTTTTAAAGAAATCATTCCTGTGTCTCAACTTCCTTATCAGAATGGGTCAGAAGCCTTTTTTTTGTTCTTTATTTCCTTATAGTCTATTGTAAGGCAGATTATTTTGAGAAAACTTAGGTTCCAAATAAATTTTTCTTTCAAAATTGAACATGAGTAGGTAAGTCTCTCTTCAGTGAAATTTTACCTTTATCTTTTAACTATAACCTCTCCCAGTATTATTTGCAACCTAGTAATTACTTCTCTTCACAGTAACCAGATGTAGCTTGTCAGTATTGCTTCTCTCTCCTTTATTCTTTTTTTTTAGTTTCCAAACTGAGCAGGCAAAAATTTTCAAGTCACATTTAACCTTAAAGTGTTTTTAAATATTAAACTGCTATTAACATACAAAAACCTGCTTGTGGATGATAGACAAACTTAATATTATTCACTCAGTAGTCTTGTTCAGAGAAAGATACCGAGATTCCTGCCTTTAAATACATCAAGCTTTTTGAACTCTTCGGGTTGGTAACTTTGAATCTAGCTACAATAAAATAAGGTTAATATAAAAAAAAATTCTTTTCAAAATTAGGAAGTTAAGAAATTAGAAAATAAAGAGACCTCATAGTTTTCTTTGCAAGCAGAAAGGCTTGAAACCTGCATTACATCAGATGACACTACGCACACTTCTGAATTTCCAGCAGCAAGTGCCCTATGAAAAGCACACAGCATCAACACTCACAACAGAGTCATTAGAATTGGCAACAAGAAGAGTTACTTTTTCCCTCAGAGAAGCGTTCTCTACCTTACAGCAATATTTACTGTTTGGCCATGACCCCAGAGAGATGATGTGACATTAATGAAACTGGCAACATGACATCCTTTGAAGCGTGAGTGTCTGATAGAGGCTAATAAAGGGACAAAGGCAGCAGAAGCTCAGGTTCAGGATACCTGGCTCCCTTTGTTTTTATTACAGTGAATTATTTAAAAGTTAATACTCAAGTAGCTACACATAAAAGGTCTTACCCTAAAGGGGAAGCAGGCACTATTAATAGGTAGCCTTCCACCCTCACATCGGCACCTCATCTGCATTTTTTTTTTTGCACTGACACAGATGCGAGCATGAGGGCTGCAGGTGAGCAGGGCAGGCTGAGAAGCATAACAAGGGTGAGAGCAAGGCTCCCTTCTCTAAGCTTAGTATTTGATAAGTTTTGGCCCAATCCCTACTTTAAGGGAGTCCTTTCAACTTCCATTTGCTTGAGAAAGATTTCTGAATGCTTAACTACTGTTTGACTTCCTGGGCTATAAAGCTTCTTACAGTTCTAATGCACTGAAATGCAAGTGTTTTATGGTGATGAAATTCTGAATTTTTTCTTAAAACAAAGCTGAAAAGTGATCAATCTTCATATACAATTCAAGTTTGGTTTTGAAGAACTGTTAGTTCCATAAAACAAACTCGATCCAATTACAGCTATTAGGCATTTCAATTTAGCATGTATTCAACATTTTATCTGCCTTTACCATAAGGCATCATTTCAATTTCCTACTTAGCTGCCATTTTACAAATTGCTGCAATTCCACCTGCCTTCTATTCAAAAAAAAGATTGTAATAAATTCAAAGGCCAACTTCAGGGCTTCTAAGGCAGCTTCCAAGCTTCCTCCTCCTTCTCCCCCCTCTTAAACTGAGGATTTTCTGTATGAGTAATTGTATTTGACCTATTTATTTGCCGGCACACTGCTTTTTTTTTTTCCTTTCACAAAAGAAGGGGAAGAGAAGGAAGGAAATGTTAAAGTAGACTCTGCCTAATAATTTTAAGTCAAGCTCTACACAGGAAGGTAGGCTCTCACATCACGACAGTTACTCTTATTTACCAAGAATTACTTCAGCTACATTCCCCTATCCCCAGAGGGTGACAGCTGAGCAACTACTTAACAGACAAATATGCTTGCCTGTGTGTTTCTTGGAGTTTGTTTGTGTTACAAGGGAAAGCCTTCTCACTAGCAAACCAACTTTAAAAGCCCTCCTGATTTTGACTGATGCTAGCCTTGGCCTCATAGGCACACATATAAAAAAAGCAACTTCATTCCTTTTGGAGACTTTGTCTGTATCTGCCCCTGCAAAGGGAAGGGGCAGGGAGTGGAGCAGCTGGGGCAGCTTGGGGCTGCCATGCAGCTTTCAGGCCAAAGGAGAAAGCACCTCTGCGATCCCAGGATGCTCTACAAAAGCTTTTCTACTAAGAAGCTGCTGGAGGAAGAAACAGCACTGCCTTCCTTCCAAGGAGGTGTGTCCCATCAGGGAGGAAACCTGCTATAGAGAGCAGCTACTTACCCTCACTGCCACACCCACCCTCATCACCTGCTCCCCCCCAAATTGCTGCATGCATGTGAGACAGAGGGGGGCATGTAGAGCCCTTCTCCATGCCTCAAGTGTAGGCATCTGCTTTTGCGTCCCCTCTACACAGCCATGAGAAGCACCAGAGACACACACAAAGAAAATGAGCTGTCAGTATGCATAGGAGGTGTTTCTGCATTTGCTCAGCTGGAAGATGTACAGGGGAAGACATTTACTCTGAGGACTACCCATCTATCTTTCTTTTTTTTTTTAATTCTGTGAGACAGTATTTTTATTTACACTTTTTATATAAAACAATTCAGGATCACCCCCTAAAGTATACTGCATATTTTAATGACATTTTTCCTAGGATCAGTATTTCATTAAATAAATAAAAGCAGAAACAGGCTATAATCCAGCCTGTATCTTTGATTCCTCTTCCTTGTATTTTTCCTTTGTGCTTCTTTATCAAATCCTGCACCAGAAGACAACAGAGAGTCCCATTAACAACAATAAATGGTCATCTACAGATTTCAAAGTGTTGCATAATTTTTTTTTAATACTTAAATGTCAATGTATGTGTTGTACTGTATTTTATTGACAGTTGCCACAGCAGAAGACATTCAAGGACCTGCAAGTTAGTCAAATTGACAATTGCTCTACGCAGAACTCAAACTTCTTTTCCTCTAGAAAAACATGGTTTCTAAGGTCTTATCAGACATGTTGCTGTCCAACTTGGAGTGAAATCTTTGGTCAAGAAAATAAGACTTAACAGAGTCTGAAGCATCTTCTAAGACCATTCTGGACAAGACAAAGTTTGTAACTCAATTTATTGTATGCTTCCCCCTAATTTGTACGTTCAAGAAGCAACTCAGATTCTCAGCGTCATCCATTATTTGTGCTGATTTCCAACAGGACCTGATCCAGTTTCTTAAGTTGATTTGGTTTTATTTCCTTATAACAGCACTAGCTACATCTAGGTTTGCAGACAAAGCAAGCTACTTCCTTCAAAGCTATGATCTGTTACACTCTCAGAATCCCAGTAATATGATGGCTAAAAACATGTAATTATGTCATTCACTACCTCAGCCCACTCTTCTCAACAGTGTGTCCAGTGAATGTCAACACTGGTGAAGGTGTCAAATGCATGACAGCCATCTTGAACTATATACCTGAGGCCTGGCTGGCGGCTTATTTCATACGTGTAACAAGTCTACATAGAAAATACCAAAATCATTTTTCTACTAAGTGTTTCATGCCTTCAACAGTCAAAAAACAGACTTAGGCAAATCACTCAATAAAGAAACAACAGCAAGATATAATTTGTAGCTACCTTGTAATGGGTTCCTAATTTGATTATTACTGGAAGCTATTTTACCGCTGAACAGACCAAGTTTTTAATATAGAATTAAACCACTAACAGTTTAAAAAACCTTTACTAAAAATGTTCCCTAAGAGCTACCTAGATATAGGTAAACAGCACCTCATTTCCACCCCCTACACAAATAGGGTCACATTAATAAAAATAAAGACACCAGTACCCCTAAAAACAAATAGTCATATTGGAAAATGCAACCGCTGCACCTTAACTATTTCAATGTTTATGGATGAAGCAACCTGTTTTGAGCCCGCACAATACAAGTAGTTCAGCAAAGCATCAACTTCAGAGACTAACAGTAATTATTCTACTTCTGAAAAGTCTTCCACAGCACTTGATCCCTGGAGCACTTAAATGCAGAAATCAATATCCTGACATTGAATTTGTGGATTCCTGTATTCTCTATTCATAGAGCTCTCTCCTTAAATGCAGAGACTGTACTGAAAAATTATCAATTTCTCTGACCCCAATGTTTCTATTTTACAGCAATTCAGGGCATGTCTTTCAGGCTTCTACAGAGGATTGTGCTTCATCCAGTCTGTCTTAAATTATTAGTGTAAAGCAACCCTAAGAGTTACAGGTTTAGCTACAAACAAAACAAAAAATCAGGTAGTCCAAAGTCACTACGTTAATTCATAGCCTAGAGCTGTCATATTATAGAGCTGGTTTCTAACTTGCGTTGGAATTAGACTCCTCTGGGCATTTGGAGGGTTACTATGAAGCAGGAGGTACCCTGGCACACTTTTGTCGAGTAATTCTGAAAGATCTGTTCCTCAAGAGCTCAGCGATTCAAAGGGCACATGATGGGCTGACGTAGCTGCACAACTGACTGACCAGAGCGCATCAAGCTTTAGAGGATATATGGGTATTGAATAAAAGCTTTTTAATGCCATTCAAGGGAAGATTGTTGTGAACTGAATATACCTGGAAGGCCTGCTCTAAGGGGATACAAAGCTATTTTTTATAAAAAGATGCCCAGGGAGCAAAGGGTATTCTATTAATTCACTTCAACTATGACCATTTCAAGGGAGGTAGACATTAATTTATGAAGGCTTTTATTTAGAGAAAAGGAAAATGAGGCTGTCCAAAAGCACAAATGGGAGTGAGACATCAAATGCCACTGAGATTTAAATGCCAACTAGCTGACCCCCTTTCTCCTGACCACCCTCCAAAAAAACCAACAAAAAACCCCACCCCACCAGCCAGTTTCCCCGTAACAGATTACTTAATTTTTCTCAATAAAAAAAAAAATAAAGGGAGCGGCAGAGACAATTTAATCAGAGGAGGAAGGAGTAATAATTTTAAAAGTCAGTCATGGCTTTTTTGATAAGTCATTAGCCTAAGATCATGAGCCATTATTTCCAGACACTGTGACTACCACTGACAGTCACAAGGTTATGGCAAACATTGCTCAAAAAACCCTCACTATAAAACAATCTATTTTGTTATTGAAATGTTTGTACGTGGGAGCATATCAAACCCATACTCCTTCCTACCATAAATGAACTAAACATTTTAATGTCAGTAACATTCTGCCCTGACCCTATCTCCTGGTCTGTGTTATTTGGAGTCCTCAAGTCTCCAGGTATTCTTACCTTTACGCCATGGCCAACATCATCCAGCACCGTGTAGTCTATAGGTTTTCGAATATACCTTACAGGACGTTCCATGTTCGCTGGCGCTATAATTTTGTGAGTTCTTGATGTGTTCTTATTGGTCGTCAAAATGCCTATCTCTCTGCGAGCGACCTTTTCTTTATGGATGTCCACGGTCTAGATTAAAAACAAGAAAGTATGGGTTTCTTTAGGCATTTGCTGTTTTCTTTACAGAGCTATCTACTTGTTTAGGCTTAACTATAAGACAAAGAGTCTGAACCGAGTTAATGCTGCTGGAAGGATGCCAGTTTATTGATGAAATGAGTTTAATCTACGTGAACATTGTTTGAAAATTACACTTCAATGAAATAACCAATATTAGTAATAAAATTACAATTATACATTACTGCTTTGACACTTTAAAGACACTATGCAGATACAGTACTTGGAGATTAACCCTCAACGTTCTTATGGCTGACACTAGTAATAAATTACTCTAACTCCACAGCTGGGAAACCAGGACAGACAAGTTAAGCACTTTGCCTGCAGCCCCAGAGGGGGACTAAGCTTGGGAAGTCTGTGCGGCAAGTTCTTTCGGCAAAGCCATCAGTGCATATCGGAGTAAGAGTCTGCATAGGGAAGGACTAATTTCAGCACTGAGGCTAGTTTCAGTCATACTGTTTATAGCAGCTTTACTAAAAGAATGAAACAGAGCCTTAAAGATGCAAGTAAAGGAATATAAAATATGCTGAGTTCCATCATTTTATTAGGAAAAACGTAAGGAGACAAAAAAAGGTCAGCCCAGCAGTCTGTGAAGGATCAAACTAACCTTCACATAACAGACACATGCTTCTACGTGCAATATAACCACTGCTTAAACCCTAGCTGAAGTAGAACAAGTACAAACCGAGCATCAGATGCCATAGGAAGTCCCACCTCTAGGAAGCCTATTTCAAGATTCAGGGGTTGAATTTACTGGTTTAAGTACCTACTAGAACCTCATGATCTCATTGCAGGAGATGGTATCTGACAAAAAACACCACTCGAAGTGACTTTGAACAAAACCTATCAAGCCACCCCTTTTTCCACTAAGGAAAATAATTCTCAAGTCTGTAAGCATCTATTTCTCCTGGAAAGACTGTCATTGAAACAGAGTGTCAAGATTCAGAAAGAAAGAAAAATCCTTGTCCATCAGTACTCGTTTAGGTATGTCTCTAGAAATAGCCTAATCTAACATGGATATTGTGATGTGCAAGGTTTTGTTTAGTGAAGCAGAGTCAAGGATGAAGCACAAAATTAGTTTATATTTCACTCTACTTCTATATGAGGCAAGATGAAAAAAGCAAGGTAAACATCCAGGAAATGACCATTTCTAGGAAAGCCAGCATTCAGTGTTCAGAGTTCACTATGAAATGCTTTCAATTGAACTGTTTTTTTCATTTACTGGTACACATGCTCAAATAATCTTAAATTCTCCTAAGTACAGAAAGAAATAAAATCCTCCTTAACAGCTTTGATACATGGCATTGCAGATGACAAGTGGGAACACAAGTGGAGAAGCACCTAAAAGCAGTGATATCAAGCAAGCTTGTTTTCACAGCTTAAAGCTAAATAACAGACAACTTGTAACATTGCAAAAGGTTCTTTTACTTTGGAAGCGCACGGAATCTTAATAGAAGTAAGAGTTGCAATTTTTCAGAGCAATGCAAGACATTAAATGTGTATGTCTGCATTAGCTTATTTGGAATAAGTTAATTAAATATGCAAATAAAGCTCTGGATCAAGCTTTATTGTTCTAAATACTCATGCTCTGAAAAATCCCAAAGTCAGGAATAAAAAGCACCTTTCCAAATGAGACAATCCTATATATCAAGCATTTGCCACTACATTGGTCTCAGGTATCAGCCACTGCACCCATATTTGCACTGGCAGCCAATTTCACAGACAACGGAGTGAAGACTTAAGAACAAGACTACCTGTATTTCTTCAACTCCAGCTATTATTTGTTCTTTTCGTTTTACAGACTAAAATATACATGTTAGTTCTGCCTTTCAGTTTGCTTTCAGCAAGATCAAGAAACATTATGAGTGCTGTGCTATGTGTTCTTAGATCATCTCTCTTCCAATTCCTCCTTACAACCTGAACCCTTTTGTTCAACGATAATACCAGGTCTCAAACTATCTTACAGAACTCTTCAACAATACGCAACTCTTCATATTTTGTAATACATGAGCACTGCATAGGTGAAAAAAACTTTATTTAACAGAGTCACCTAAACAACATAGCAGTATGGGAGGCCAAGCAGAACATCAATTTAAGGCACATACTACAATGTTTTAAAAGAGGGTATTTTAAAATACTACTATGCCCCTTGAAATAAATCCATGCTTCTTCATTCTCATGAACAGAATCTGTTGTTACTAATAAATTCATTTTTTGTTCAGTAGATGGACAAAAATGCATCTTTATACTAACAGTTCTCTTAAAGCAGATGTCAAAATAAAAAAGAAACAAAACAAAACAAAGTCCTTCACAGTACAAAAAAATGCATCTTCTGCCAGCAGGTAGTCCATGAAGACTAACTTTTCCTCCCTGCAATGAACAATGAAAATTCCATTAATTACTAGGGCAGAGGATAAGAAATTCCAGGAGCAGATGCTGTACCATACATGTTTTGAAAAATTACTTAAGTAATCTTGCAACAAATTCGTGTTAATGGGAAAAAACCCTTAGAACAGGAAAAGAGCATGTATTAATTATATCAGACAGCTTATCCAAAATTAAATGTAAAGCATTTTGTAAAGTCCTTCCATGGATTTCAGTAATGTAAACCAAGCAAAGAGAAGACTATCTGTACCACAGTGCAGGGCCAGCAATTTATGGCACATATGTAAATCTTGAACGGCATGCAGGCATGTCTGTGCAAGAGACTAATTCACTGTTCAAAGCAAATGAGACTGCAACTCTTACCACATCTGGCACACTGGAAAAGCAAGGCAATATTTTGCCCCTATGCAAAGCAAAGGCTCCCAGCATATGCTTTGCCCAGAGCAATATGCTGCCCATTAGCTACTAGACAGCATCTTGCTTCTTCAAAAAGAAATTAATTTTTCTAGATCTATAAAGACTTCATGTTATTAATTGTTATGGGATCATTATATAAAACAAAGCATATAACAGTTGTTCATTTTTGTATTTTTATTTATGTCTATTTGCTTGATGTTGAAGTTTATTGTTTAGTCATAAGCAATGTTTTTCACTTCCAAAAGAGGAAAAACCCAAAACACAAGCAATTTTTAGCAGGATAGCATAGCTATCCACCCAGCCAGTTAATTCCCAAGAGAGACAGGCCACATATACCAGGTAAGCCAAACTAGACCATTCTCAAAGTTCTGGCCACACTTGGCACCTGTAGCTATGACTGTCTGCTCTGATATGGTAACAAGACAGCTAAACAGTAGTTAGTTTGTGATTTCATGCTAAACTACTTTTAAACATCAAAGATGGAGAGGAGCGGTGTATGGCAAACCAGCTTGGGTTAACACAGGTTAACAAGCACTAGCAAACAGTCAGACCAGCTTCAAGTATGCTTGGCCTATGCTGAAACATAACATAATTTAAAATTTGGGGAACAGGCATGGAATTCTCACTCCTAGACAACATAATCCAGCAGAAAACAAGTCCAGCATTGTACTGATTTGGAGAAGAGGGAGAAGACAGCCCTTCCAAAAGCACATGTCTCCTTTGGGAAGCAAATTTAAACTAAACCATCAAACAAACCACTTTGCCATTATAACTGGGTGCTAGGGACCATGCCAGCTAATCCCAGAAGCAAAGTTAAGCTTGGAAGGTGAAGGAACTGCTAATGATTAGCTGCCTCTACTATCTGTCTGCTTCAAACCATATGAAAAAAAAACAGTTGATCAACAGGATGTAGAGTTAAAATTTAACTGTTTGCTCACTCAGAAGTAGCCTCAAGGCCAAGTGCAGCACAGCAACGATACAGCAAATATTTGTTCTTTTCTCTTCTTTTTCTGTGCTGCAGATACCACTCTACCCACGTGCTACAGCATGCAACCTCAGGACAAACACTTTACCAGAAATAGAGACTGCAGTACATTTGGCCAAGCTAATTTGAGGATACCTAAATATTATAATAAAGCCCACATATATAGGGATATTCAAAAAAAAAAAAAAAAAAAAAAAAGAAAAGAAAAACAAAAGAAAAACAACTTCAAGCTTTGACAGTCTTTTTAATCCTGAACCACTGCAACGCAAATTTATGAGCCAGAGACACAACCACTGCTTCTCTCATCAAATGCATGCGCAGCTGGTGAAGGGCAGGGGAAAAAAGAAAAAAAGATCTCTAGCTAATCAACTTGGCTAACCAGGCACTGACAACTTCAGGCTGTCCTGAAGCACAAGACAACTCACTACATTAACACCACAGATTTACACCAAGCAAATACCCTTTAGATTTGTGTTAAATTAACTGACACTCCAGAAGCATTGTACAGGAAAACTCCACTTCAGGTTTCCTACTCTGCTCCTCCCAAGTTCCTCAAGAATGAAGCCGTAACAGCACACACACTCACCTGGCAGAGGGGACAGGGGAAGCGCTGTCTGGTGCTGCACAGCTATCTTGCCAGCGACCTGGAAAAAGCTGCCAGGCTTTTGGGAAGAGTGGAGTAACGGTTAGGGGAGAGAAGAACAGCTGCCCAGTCCTCAACAGTAAAAATGGTGGCTATCAGGTAGAAACAGACAAACAAAACCCCCCAAAAGAGAGTCTAAGATACAGTGTAGGAAGCTACACATTAAAAAAATACAAAAAAACCCCACCAAAACCCCCAAAAGATCAAACCACCACATACTTTCACCCATGAATTGGAGGATGAGCAAAAAGTCACTTCAAGGACATTTCCTTGATTCAAAAATCTAACATCCAAAACACGTTAGACAAAAAAAAATCCTAAAATTACACCGCCATTTTTACTGACAGTTTTTCAGGCCATTTCACGCAACGGTTTTAAGAACTTTTATTTTCGCATCATGAACATCCTTCAAACAAATGTCCTATGCTGCACAGAGCTGCAAGTCAGTAACTTTTCAATTTGTCCCTAGGCTCACTCAGACAAGAAGGAACATAGGATCAAACTCCACAGCCTTCCCCAAGCTGC